TCGAGCACGTGGTTCGGCCAGCTACTTACGGAGGCCTACAACCCGAAGAAGACGCTCAAGCAGATCGATGACCTCAGCACCAAACGATCCGGGGAGATCTATAGCGACAGCAACGGCCTGGTGACGCACATCAAGTCTGACGTGGGTCAATCCACGGACAAGCGGTTCCGCATCGTGGCCTCAATGATTAAGGAGACGGTGCACCCCAACAGCCAGCTGAAGCTCTCGTGGATACCTACGTGGAGTATGGTCGCCGACGCGCTCACCAAGACCATGGAGACCGGAGTGCTCCTCGCTTTCTTCGGGGCCAAGAAGTACAACTTTGGCACTAGGCAACCGCACGCCGCCATGCTTGCCTCAGTATTGATGACATGTCTCGGACGCGTGAAGGCACAGCATCCCCCACAGGAATGGCAAGTGCCAATGTCACATTGGATCTACTACATGACATTAATTGCGATGCTCAGTGGGATCATGATTGGATTTACATTATTCGCAGCGCTGTGGTTTGTGGTGCGAAAGGAGATATTTGGGTCAGGCGACCCCAATCCCATCCAGATCGGGACCATCAACAACACCAGCAATGGGTCCAAGGCTGATCACGCCGGGCACGCGGACACTCCCTTGCCCGGAATATATCCAGGATGGGATGGACGATACCTCGGACGTCGTAACAATGTACCGACTACCATTCCCGAAGACGTCGACGGAGATGTCTACATGGAGCCGCCGATGATTGCCGTCGCAGCCCAGAGTTCATCATCAGCAAGCGGATCGGCAGCGCCAGCCGCACCGCCCCCATCACCGGACAGCTTCGCGCAGGGAGCCAGCTCATCGCCATCATCCCCGATGACGGTTACCAGTTCCTCGTCAGCCAGCGTGGTTTCTTGGAACGGATCGACGCCAACGGTTCCGCCAGTAGAAATGAACGCATGTGTGGCCGCCGAGCACAACATACGCGTGGGACACAACGCACACAGTGTCTACATCACCTGCAGGACGTGCAGGAAGCACGCTACATGGCTACGCAGGAATTATGTGACCCATGAGCCAGATTTCTCGAGGATGCACAATAGTCTGCGCTGGGATTTACAGAACAGATGGAGGCAGCTACAAGGACTGCCCGGCAAGGCGAAAGCTCAAAAGAAGATTTCGTGAGCACGCCATCGTTTTATATTTGGCGCCACATCCTGTGGCGGATTATGTAAGTCCGCATTGCTCTGTTAGCTCGTTTTATATTTGGCGCCACATCCTGTGGCAGATTACGTCAGTCCGCACCGCTTTGTCAGTTCGTTTCCTTTACACCTGGAGCCACATCGTGTGGCAGATTGCGCAAATCCGAATTGTCTTACCAGCTTGTTTTTTTTACATTTGGCGTCACACCCTGTGGCATACTACGCTAGTCCGCATTGTTCGAAGCTTCATTCAGTGTGCACAGATTTCCTTTTATGTGGTGACGACCACACTATTGAGATTTTATCTCGATAAGACAGCGCTATTTGAGTTTTGTCGCATAGCGATCGGACTCGCGCCGCTGTTCGTTTTGAGAATTTATGTCTTTCTTGCCGGTGCGTGTAGCAGCACCCGTTAAATGCCCCGGGGCAGCCGGATAGCATGCCGACAGGGCCGTTTGCCTGTGTTTGTTTTGAGAGCGCTCTGATTAATGAAGTGAGCTGCGATCAATGATCGTCGCTCGACGGCGCCGCGAGCGTCAATCAGGAGGAGTGTGATTCCCGCTCACTCCCCGTGCCTTTCCTGCATCCCCGCTCTATCCCTCACGCCCGCTCGTGCCGCTGCCGTTTTATTTCGAACTAGGGCCCTTGGCCTTAGAGCTACGCAGATAGATTGAGCAGCGCTCTCTTTCGCCTAAAGATCGTCGCGCCGCGCGCGCCATCCATATCACAGACCCGTCCCGCCGGCCACCCGGAAAGGAGCACAATTCCCCAATTGTTCGCTCAAGATGGCCCAAGATGGCCTTCAAGATGGGCACGTTGGCCCAAGATGGCGTCCAAGATGGTCCAAGATGGCCTCCAAGTCCGCCCAAGATGGTCCAAGACGGCCTCCCAGACGGCCCAAGAGATTCCAAGACGGCCCAAGACGCACCCCAGAGGCCTCCAAGACGGCCCAAGAGGCCTCCAAGAGGTCCTCCAGGAGGGCCCGAAGAGGCCAAAATCATTGATTTTCCATAGGTTGTTGAAGGATTTTGGCATTCGCTTCTTCTCGGCTTGCCGACGACCCAAGGCGGCCCAAGAGGCCCCCAAGACCGCCCCCACAGCGCCCAAGAGGCCTCCAAGATAGCATCAGGACTGCCCAAGAGGCCCCAAAGACGGCCCCAAGAGGGCACAAAGACGACCCAAGAGGCCTCCAAGACGCCCAAGATTGCCTCTAAGACGGCCCTGGAGCACCCCAAAAGGGCCCGAATTCGACCCAGAAAAGGCCCCCAAAACGGCTCCCGACGGCGTCAGACGGGCCATAAGGCCCGTCGAAGGATTTTGGCATGTGCTTCGTTTCGGCCTTCCGACGGCCCGATACGGCCCAAGAGCCCCAAAAGATAGCCAAAAGGTCGCCCGCGAGGCCTCCAAGATGTCCCCAAAACGGCCCACGAGGCCCCCAAGACGGCCCAAAGAGGCCCCCAAGGCGGCCCAGGAGGCTTTTAAGACGCCCAAGATGGCCTCCTAGACGGCCCTGGAGCATTCCAAGAGGGCCCCAAATCGGCTCAGGGAGGCCCCCCAAACGGTTTCCGACGGCGTCAGACGGGCCAGGAGCCCACCAAGACGGCCGAATATGGCACTAAGATGGCCCAAGACGGCCCAAGAGGCCTCCAAGAGGGCATCCAGGAAGGCCCGCAAAAGCCCAAATCATTGATTGCCCATGAGTGTTTGAAGGATTGTGGCATTTGCTCTTTCTCGGCATTCCGACGGCCCGAGACGGCCCAAGTGCCCCTAAAGATCGCCCAAGAGGCCCAAGACGGCCCAAGGAGGCCCCCAAGACGGCCGCAGAGGCCTCCAAGACGCTCAAGATGACCTCCAAGACAGCCCAAGAGCACTCCAAGACGTCCTCCAAGAAGGCCCGAAAGGGCCAAAATGGCCTCCAGGCGGCCAAGATGACCTTCAAGATGCCCACGTGCTCCCCGAATGCTTTCCAAGCCGATTCGGGGAACACATGGTCCGATAGCTTGGCAGGTCTGGCCTCAACGTTCGGCCACATAGGCGCTTCCAAAAAGGCAGGGGGCGGCGGTGATTCGCCGTAGGCGTCTTCGATAACCTAACCGATCAGACCATGGCAAGACATGATGTAAAACAACATCATGCCATAGCACATCATCACATCACAACCCATACCATACCATTACAACTCACACTGTGCCAAAGCGGGACACACCATAGCTTAACACAACAGAGCATGCCATCATACTAACTAGAAGCCACACGACTGCTCCCAATACGATCATGACTGATCTGTAACACACTGGAACACATCATTAGCCAAGACGTATATAATACCATGACACAGCAACAATGTTTAGGGTGCTATACGCGAGAAGCGCATGTATTTTGACAGCCGCTACTAGGCAACAGTATACAAAATTGTAAGTGAGCTCGTTCAGAGCAATGAAAAGGACACTCGATCTGGCTACCATTTATCATAATACAGATCAGCAAACAACCACATATGAAACCATGCGCATGTACTGCACATCACAGCAACGAACTTATGAACACGAGAGTAACATGACACGAACCTGGAGTACAATAGCATAATAAGATGCAAGGCCGTAGTTAGATTACAGTAAGGGTGTACATAAGAGAGGACTACCAAATCATAAGCGGAACTGTTCAAGCCATAATGGGAGATAGCCGATCCGAAAACAAACCGACTCACCTTAACATAACACAACACAACATAAGCGAGGGCATACCATACCATAAGACTCATGAATCAACGAACATGGAAGAGCCTGAAACATACCATAACATAGCAAGCCAGCGTCTCTTATCACAGAATGGAAGGGAGCGCACGATAAGATCACGTAACAAGATCTACTCAAACAACCCAATGTTGAACTTTGCTGGACATGACAACGCATAAAACTCAGCGACCGATTACCGGCTTCGAGTCTAACACGGCGTGCAGTCCGAGATCAGGCTGACCACAGGAACAAAGACACGCAATGACGACCGGTTGCACGATGGATCAAGCGTGACAGGCGTCACGAAATCACGCCCGCCCAGAACAGAACAGAACAGAGCACAATCGACTAAAGCGTAGTAGGGAATACGTTTGACTATTCGAAAACTGAAGCCTGCATAATACAGCAGTAACCGATTTACCGCGCCCTATCAAACGTAACATGCGAGCCGACGTAAGGCTGGCCACAAGAACAAAACAGGCCCAGCAACAACCGAACAGACTACATATCGAACGTGACAGGCGTCACGACGTCACGCAGCCCCATCGAGAACATATCAAAACAAACCATGTGTGAATCGCACAGAACGCAAACGAACACAACGTGATAGAGTAGAGTACAGCAGCGACCGAATAACGGCGCCTTATCAAACGCAACAGGCGCGGCGACCTCAGGCTGGCCACAATGACAAACAGTACCAGACTCGGGAACAAGCGCCCAAGCTTTCGGTGAGGATAGCTAGAAGCAAAATCTGGTTGCCTGTTATTTTCCTGCGACTCCTTCTGGAGGACTGCTGGGACGCATCTCACACGTCCAGAGGCCTCTACGGCGCAGAGCTGCACGAACGCACGAGTTCGTCCAGGTCTGCATCGTCGCTGGCGCCTCCTCCTCCTCCTCCTCATCATCCTCATCCTCATCATTCTCCCTTTCCTCCTCCTCCTCCGCCGCCTCCTCCTCCTCCTTCTCCTCCTCCACCTGCTGCTGCTCCTCCTCCTCCTCCTCCTCCTCCTCCCAACACCTCCCAACTCCTCCCAACTCCTCCCAACTCCTCCCAACTCCTACCTCACGCATCTCAGCACCGAACGACCGCCTTCTGGGGGCACACGCGCCGCAGGAAGCGGTACGCGTCCGACTCCCTCGGCAGCCAGCGCAGCTCGTCGTCCGGCGGCGCGCCCATGGTCTGGGCCACGCGGGTCACCATGTCGACGTGGTTCTTCCTCCCGCCGTAGCTGGGCGGCGCGCACAAGGGGGTAGAGGGAAGCGGGGGGGAAAGGCCTCCTATGGGGAGGCTGCTCCTCAGAAGGCACTGGCCCTGCATCTATAGAGAGGGCCGCCGCGTTCTGAGAAGCAATGGCGCTTCTAAGGAGCCGTCCCCCCTCACCCGTCCCCCCTCTGCTGCGCCTTGCCGGGAAGCGTGGCTGCACATCCTTCATCCTCTTTCCCCCCTCGAGAGTGCAGCGAGCTCATTTGGCTCTTCAACGACAGGCCCAGGCTGGAAAACCGATACTGAGGGTTGAAAACCAAGCTGGCATCGGAAAATACACTGAGCACTTCGTGCATGCAGTCGCACGAGTCGCACGAGATCTCGACTTCTCAACCACACCTCCGAGCACGAACATTGCTCTATGCCCCTTCAAGATTGGTGGTGGGCACGCACGCGCGCGGGGGGGGGAGGAGGGCGGGGTCGTTCGAAAAGCCGTCCATGGGGGAGGACGGGAAGCGTCAACCTCGCCAGCACGGGGCAGCGGGGGCGACTCTCTGAACGCAGGTTGCCAGCACTGGGCAACAGCACGCACCGTGCCTCCTGGGCCCCCCGAGCCCAAGACCTGCCCCGCCCCATGTGCAGCGGAAGCAGCGTGCGCCAGACAGTGCCTCTGCCCGAGTGAGCCCCGCAGCTGCGCGCGCCCCCCTGCCGCCGCCTCCCGCCCGGGCGCCCTCCGTCGCCTCCCGGGATGCGGGGCCTCCGCAGATTCCTGCTCACAGCGCTCCTCGGGGGCGGCCAAGAGGGGGGCGTCCAAGAGGGGGGGCGCAAATCATGGCCGGCGGCAGGTCAGCGGCCAGGGGAGGGGGGGGCCAGGGACGTAATGAAACAAGAAGGGGCGCCATGAAATCTGAGCAAATATCATGGCCCACGCCATGATATCCACCACCTCCTCCTCCTCCTGCTCCTCCTCCTCCTCCTGCACAGATTCCCTGCTCCAAGGGCTCGCCCCTCTCGCGGGCTTCCTGCCGCGGCAAGCCGGCACGCGGCACCGAAACCGCCGGGCAGGGTCAGGGGGCGCGCCTGCCCCCGCGCCGCTTCGCCGTGCAGAGCGCACTCGGCTCGAAGGAGCGTCGGAGGCCACTGGTGCCAAGCGCGGATCGCCCGCGCCATGCGAACATTCGGCAGAGCAGCCGCACGAGCAATCGTTCGCGCCACTTGGATGCTCGTTCTGGGGACCTTCCTGGAGCCACTCGCTCCACTCGTGCTCGAAGCTGCGTCGAACGTCAGTCGAGTTGGGTCGACCCTGAGTCGAACCTGAGTCGAAGTTGAGTCGAACTTGAGTCGAACTTGAGTCGGACTTGAGTCGAACTGGGGTCGAATAGATCCGTTAGGCGGGCTCCAGGAAGGTCCCCGAAACGAGCATCGAACGCCACCGTCGCTCGGGACTCGAAGCAGCGAGGCTGTCGGCCCAGCTGCAGGCCGCGCGTCGCCTTCCCCGCCGGCCGTCGTCGCGGGGCGGCGAGCCGCGGCCTCTCTCCGGGGGGCTTCGGGCTCTGGGGCGCGCCGCGAGCGGAGCAGGCGTGGGGCGGGGAGAGGGCGGCTCAAGGCACCTGGCTCCAAGGTTAGGCCGGCGCTCAAGCACCGTGCAGGTGCGCAGAGATCTGGCTTTGTTTCCAGGCGCTTCGTACATGTGCTGGTCTGTGTAATCATCCTCTCATTCTTCACGTTCTACCTCTTCCAGATTCCAGCTCATTCCTTTGACCACCAGGGGGAGAGGGCGGCGACGGCGATCCGAACGAGACGGCGGCCGTCCAGCGAAGGGGAAACGTCGGGGTTGCGATCGCTGATGCCTCGGAGGTGAAGCTCCGCAGGCCCCGCAAACGCAGGAACAACCTGCCGCCCTTGGCAAGGGTGGCCAGGGGGGGCGGGCGGGAAAGGTACGATCAACGATCGCGGCAGAGTGGGACCCAGGATGCCTGCACGTTGACCTTTCACTCGAAATATCTGTTACCTGCCTCCAGAGCGCTCTCCAAGCCGAGACCCCGGGACGCCCGCCCCCATCGGCACATCTGCGCCCCTCGCTCGGGCAGCATCCCTCCCTGCCCGGATCAGGGATATAGTAATCTCCATGCGCCAGAAGGCCAACCCCATCCAAGGCGCTTTTACTTTGTTCATTGCGCGACGAACGCGCTCACATGTAGCGCCGATCCTATCGACGCTAAAGAGCTATCACCTTTGCGAGCGCTCCAGTGCCAGAACCAGAGCGGGTGGCTTTGGTCTGGGCCATCAAGACCCGTTTTTGGACCTCTGGCCGATCTTCAAAACCATCGGGGCGAACCTGGATTGGGCTCTCAGGGGGGAGGCAGGGGGCGGGACTAAAGTTGCGACCCCGCCGCCCGACGACCCGTCGACGCACGGAGCCGAGACCTGGCGGCAAAGGCCCACCCTCTGACCGACTTCCTCGACGGCCGCGCGGTTGCCGCGACTGTCCTGCGACACCAGGAACGCCGGGGTGCCCGCCCAGCCTCGCACCGCGCCGAGCCCGCTCAGAACGCGAATCCTCCTCGCCAGCCCCCCAGCATCGCAGTGGCACAGCGCCCGACTGCTCCACTGCGCGGAGGCCGGGGAGCCTGGAAACAGACAAACTGTTACCGCGACCAGTTCGCCGTCGCCGCCGAGAAGTACCCCTGGGCCACCGTCGCCAGCTGCGGCTTGACGAGCCGAAGGTCCGCAGCCACCGCACCTTGCCCGATTCCGCTGCGCCTTGGGCGCCTCAACTGGATGAACCAGCACATTCGCCACCAGTTGTCATCCCCAGAAGAAGCGCGCCCACGAGCAACTGCCAGTCGAGGTGGGTGGACAACGCATCGCGCGGCCTCTTGCACGCCCACTACCTGCGATGTCCAGCCTACTCTTGTTTAATCCGAAATGGGAGTACACATACACACACATACATATATATATATATATATATATATATACATACAGATACATATATATATATATATATATATACGCATGATATAAACTCGCCTAGCACCTGGTGTCATTGTACGGAATCGGCACCATTGACCTGGACCCATCCTTGGAACACCATGCCCCTGCCGAGCTCGAGCCCCAACCGTGAAGCGGGACTCCGCTCTTTCGCGCAGAGTGAAGGTCCAGGCGCGTTGACCGCCCTCAAGCTCGCAATGACTGCCCAGCTCATTGTCCGCTGCCTGCAGTCGGTCCGCCAAGGCACTGCCGACCGCCATCTTGGGGATCTGCTCGGGCGCAGCGATGGCCATGATGCACGTATCTCGCAGCCTCTCCCAATCCACCGCGTAGTGTTCAGGGATTGAAGTTTCTGCTTTCGCCACGTCGAAGACGCGCAAGAGCCTCTTCAAGCTCTCTGCCATCCTTTGCTGTTCCAGCTCCATCGAACCCATCTTTCTCTCACGATCCACCGCTCTTGCAATAATGGAAACAAGCTGCTGGCTGAGTGGTGCCTCGACCTGGTTGAAGAGCGGATCCACCGACGAGTTGGTGGCACCTGGCAGCATCCTGTGAACAACTTGAGAAAGATCTTTGTGATTCTAGCGGAGAGTCGCGCACGCATCTCCACAAACGTCCGCCACCTGCGCGCGCGCACGGATCACCCACCGTAGCACTGCCTGGACTGATCCGCCTGGATGGAACACCTGTCTCGATCGTGCCCGGCGCAGTGGGCGCGCAATCACCATCGACACGGGGTTCACCGCCTCCTCGCCGTCTGCCTGCCACGTGGTGCCGACGGGCTTCAGGCAGGGGCCATGATGCAGGTCGCCTTCCCTGTCTGTCCGCCCTGCCGCTCAGGAGAAGGAAAGATGGGCGCAGCTTCGAGAGCATCTGCCAGGGCTCCCAGATCTTCTCCATTGGCTCCCAGTGGTGGTGCGACCCGTCTCGAACTCCTCGACGTTTCGCCCTCACTACCAACCCCGCGATCGCAGCGGCAACAGATCCCTCGCGTTCACGTTCAACTCTCTCACGGCTGTGATCTCCGCGCTTCCTATCATTGCGAGCGTCACGACCACGGCCAGGAGTCCTCGGTGAAGCAGGCGGAATGGAGCAACATCCAATCTCATCTGACGCCGCAACTTCCGTACGTCTCGAGCGTCGACTTAGGGTGTCTGCCTTCGCCGGCGCCTTGACCGTCCCTTCGTCTTGGTTACCTTCTCTGGAACGTCTTAAGACGCAAGCCGAGGCAGGAACAAGAAACGCCTGTGTGCACCCACGTCTGGAAATGTCCAAGGGAAGTGGAGCCTGTGACCACCCCGCGGAGAGGCTCACCACAGGGATCGTGTCGAAACGATCTGGTGGTCAAGCCTCGGGCCAGAGGTGCCCACGCCTCCCCCCCAAGAGTCGGGCATCTCGAGCCAACATGGCTTCGGCAGGGATGATGAAGAGGAGGAGGAGGAGGAGGAGCAGCAGCAGCAGCAGCAACAGTACACATGCTGAGCAGAAAGAGGCGCAGGGAGAAGGAAGGGTGGCAGAGGAAGGCCCGGATGAGCTGTCCCCCCCCTCCCCGGGAACAGCGGCTTGCGGCCCAGGATCTCGCACAGGATGCAGCCAGCGGACCAGATGTCCACCGCCGAGGTGTACTGCTTCGGCAGCAGCATGACCTGCGAGACCGAGGCTGAGGAGGAGGAGGGCATCGGAGGGACACAAGGACAGGAGACCCCGCGGAGGACGAAGATCTCCAGAGCAGGAATGTCGAATGACGAGGGGGGAGGAAGATGCTGTAATACCACGTGTTGGCGCATGGCGCGACCAACATCACATGACATTACATTCCGAAGGGGGAGCGTGGGAAAGGAAAAAAACTACACCGAGTTATTTCGGCATTCGTTGGGACCCCATGCGACGTGTGTAAATGGTACAGTCGGGTTGCAAACATAGAGACGAACAATAAGGATCGCAGCGCAGCTTTGGATCCAGAAGCGCCTGCGCGCACGGAGAGAGCCAGGGGAACCGCTATGGAATGACCTAACGAGTATCGAGCCCCTGGGAGGGCCGATTCGCCACCACGCCTTTTGAAGGCGAGCGTGTCCCCGGCCCTGTGTAGCCTCCTTTAGTAACCTGCCTCCCGCGATGGATCCTCTGGGCGGATCGATTTGCACAGCATGGGTGGGAGGAGGGAGGAGGCGGGGTAGGAGGGGGAGGAGGGGAAGGATGATGAGGAGGGGGAGCAGGAGGTGGAGGAGGAGGAGGAGGCGGAGGAAGAGAATGAGAAAGAGGAGGGGGGGGAAGAAACGGAGGCGGAGAACAAGGAGGAGAAAAAGGACGAGGAGGATGATGAGGAGGAGCCATAGGACACGTAGGTGGAATGTTCAAGCCATCAGTTCGGCAATTCGGCAAAAGGGGGAGGAGGACAAAGAGAGGAGAGGGGAATGATAATGATGATGAGGAGGAGGAGGAAGAGGAGGAGGGGGAGGAGGAGGAGGAGAGGAGCGGAGGAGGAGGAGGAGGAGGAGGGGAGGAGGAAAGGGAGGAGGAGGAGGAGGAGCGTGGAGGAGGAGGAGGAGTAGGAGGAGGAGGGGAGGAGGAGGGAGGAGGTGACGAAGACGCGGTGAGGAGCGAGGAAGCAGGAGGGGTAGGAGGGAGGCGGGAGGAGGAGGTGAGGAGGAGCAGGAGAAGGAGGAGGAGGAGCAGGAGGAGAAGAAGGAGGAGGAGGAGAAGCATGGGGAGGAGGAGGAGGAGGAGGAGGAGGAGGAGGAGGAGGAGGAGGAGGAGGAGGAGGAGGAGGAGGAGGAGGAGGAGGAGGAGGAGAAGGAGGAGGAGGAGGAGGAGGAGGAGGAGTAGGAGGAGGAGAGGAGGAGGAGGAAGAAGAGGGGGGAGGGCCAGGAGGAGGAAGAGGTGGTGGAGGATGAG